CTGTTTTCCACAATGACCTGGAGCATAAATTCTTCCACAGTGTAGTACTATTAAATGCTGTCCCACTGTTAGGACAGTCTTTGAGACCTGTCGTTGAGGTTTACTACCAATATCAAGGTGGCTTTTCTTAGCTGCATTCTCTTTTAACTTGATCTTTTTTTTTTTTTTCTCATTTGCTGTCTTGAGAATACCAATTTCCTCCTAACTGTTCACTAGAAAGATCTGCTTTTTCTAAATATGGCCCTTAGACTTGAACTTTCCCATTCTCTATCTGAAAAAAAAAATGTCAGTTCCCTTAAGGAGAGCTACAAAGCTTTCTGTTCTTATGGCTTCATCTCCACATTGGCAGAAACTCTGTATTATTGTTCTGTGAATAGGGGCAGGAATCTATAGTGGTACCTCTTACAGGCAGGACTATGGACATGGAATGAATCCCTGGTCTTCTTAGCTTTTCCTTTCTTCTGAGGGTGTAGCTTCTACCTACAAGCAAGCTGAGGTGACGGTTATTGGGGTCCAGTTTTCTTGGCCTGCTATGCATGGGATAAACTGTCTGTCCTACAAGTGATATGTGGGTAAAGGCCAGACCTCTCTTCCTGGAATAGAGCTTCTGCAGTATAGAGCTAGAAAGTATAAGGAAAGTTGGTAACCAATCCTTCTGGAAAGAAACCATACCCTTATATTGAAAGCTGGGAAAAGATGGAGCCCTGTGCTATTGGCTACAGTTACCTAGAGTAGGTTCCATTTCACTGAGCTGGATGAGGTGGGGAGAATAGTTTATGGTTCAAATGTCATAAACTCTAGCTGTTCTTACTAAGATTCAATAGATTTTCTTGAATAAATTTTCCTCTATTTAATGGAAACTTTTGGAACAATTTCCACAGAATTTAAATAGTTGGTTGTTTTCTTGTTTAATTATTACGGTTATTCTTATGGCAAACAGAATCCAGAGATCATCAGGTCACTAATCTCGAAGTGCTTTTTCAAATAATTTCTTTTTAGAAAGAATGTCTTAGGACTATTACAAGGATGAAAATAATAATGAGGGCTGGGATTTTGGCTCAGCGGTAGAGCACTCGCCTAGCACGGGAGGGACACAGGTTCGATCCTCAGCACCACATAAAAATAAAGGCATTGTGAGTTATTGGATGATCAGATTGAATCTTGTCGAGTATCACATTGTACATCTTGCTTAGATGTTGACGACTGCCAGTAATAATACAGTTTGTAATGAAACTATCTAAAATTCTTGTTTTATCACATCTGTTATCTGTAAAACACCTGTAACTAGCTTTTTTTAATTTATTATTTGAATTTTAGGATAGTGAATCACTAATTTTTAGTTGCTGAAGTTAGCATTTTAGTGATAACTAAGCACTTCTGTCAGTCTTGGAAAAAAGGAACATATGTTTTGTGCTTTGAAGATCTCTGAAGAATTTCCCTTAATAGAATGGGCATGTATTGTAATTGTTTTATGTCAAATGATCTGTGCTGTAGAAAAAAAAACATTAACCTTTGTTCAAAAAAGAAACGGATAAACTTGGCCTTTCCGAGTGGTAAGAATGATCTGTCACTATAATATACTGTATGTTTACATTATATTTAATCTCTTATGTATAGGGTGATAACCTTCCCCCAAAACAACAGCGATTGCGATTGTTTTCTAGAAACTTATTCTTTAAAGTGCCACATTTGGCAGTACAAATGAGTTTGAGTGTAAGAGCCCAGAGATTTCTATATAGTTGAATGTCTAAAATGGTAAAATGTGCCACTGTGACAAGTTACAGTGGCTTATGTTTTTCATAGTAATTCAAATGAACTCCTATTTTTGATAGTAAATGTCATTTAATAGTGTACTTGCCATTTGAGCCTCACTGCAAAATTAGTGCAGAGGAGAAAACAATTTTTAATGTAATCTTGATTTTACCTCATATACTGTACATTCCAAAACTCTAAACTTTTTAAAGGTTATAGATACACTACCAAACATATCACCTTAAAATTGTACAAGATTAAACTTCATAAAAATGGTAAAATATAATCTCATAAGAATACATAAACTGTGTAGCAAAAGTATCTTTAAAATCTATGGAAAATAAAAGTTGTATCATTCTTTTTTGAGATATGTTTATTGTATTCATATATTAATTACTTGCTACCTATTTGAGAAAATAAAATAAGGCTTTCCTTCTTCAAAAAAAAAATAAAATAAAGGCCTTGTGTTGTGTCCATATACACCTAAAAATATAATAAATGTTTAAAAATATTTTAAAAAAAGAAAATAATAATGAATTCCCATTCTAGTTCCACTTTAGACAAAAAAAAATTTTAAAGAGAGAGAGAGAAAGAATTTTTTTTTAATATTTATTTTTTAGTTTTCGGTGGACACAACATCTTTATTTTATTTTTTTTAATGTGGTGCTGAAAATCGAACCCAGTGCCCCGCGTATGCCAGGCGAGCGCGCTATCGCTTGAGCCATATCCCCAGTCCAAGACAAAATTTTTAACCTGCGCTTTTCTTCATTTATAATGAGAACTAAACACCACTCTGATTGCAGTAAGAATCAAAAGATCATTAAAATACAGTCATGTGTCAGTAAACAAAGGGAATAATACTTTCTGAGAAATTAATCCTCAGGTTATTTGTTTTGTAGTATGATCATCATAGAGTGCATTTACACAAACTAAGATGGCTTCAATATCACTAGGTGATATAATCTTATGGTAGCACCATCATATATGTGGTCTATCATTGACTGAAATGTCATTATGTGGTGCATAACAATAGCATATATAAAGCACCTAACACAGAATTGACTCATAGCAGATGTGATAAATGTCACTTCTCTCCCCTTCATGCAGATGACCCTCAGTCTGGATAGCTATATGTTTACACTAGCAGAGTATCTGAATTATGGCCTATGTGTAATAAATGTTGAATAGGATTTAAGATGGACTGATGAATGGAAGAATGAATGAAATGATCAGAGTGATTTCTAAGTTTACAATCTCTAATTTATCAATATAAAAAATATGGGTGATGTTCACATTTTAATGGTATAGTTTAAATAGTCTAATCAGAACTGATGCTCTCAGGGGTGGCTACATAATTAGCAGGGCAGAGTAGAGAAAGCAATATGGGGCCTTCTCTTCAAACATTATTAAGAATTTCAACATGGCAAATCATTAAACCATGTTTGGGGCTATTCCAACCATGGGGTCCTTTGTAATTACACAGGACACATAACCCATGAAACTATCCTTGCTCACCTCAGCCCTGGAGTAAGGTTCTGAAGGACTCCTCCTGCTATAATAGGTGTTATACTTTAGTTGATGGATCTGGGAGATCTTAGGAGAAGGGTACCAAGTGAAGGGCTGAAGCAGCCCCAGGTGCAGAAGACAGATGACTTAGGACTATGACCTAGGGCACTGTCTGTATACCTAGCATTTGGGAAAAATTCAATTTCTTAAAATTCCATCATAATGCAATAAAAAAGGCAGTTCACAAAATTCAACTTCATTAAGTTTGGGTTCACATTATTGCAAGGTTAGTAAACCTACACAGGCTAGCAGGTCAGGAATTCCAGGGAACCTTTTCTAAGATTCAATGGATATTGATTCTCACATCCAATTTGTTGAGAGCAATGCTGTTTGGGACTTCTAGGATTATGTCAGTCATTCCAGAAATCCTCTGATGAGAAAGGCCTGTTATGCATGCCCTGAACAGGGGAATTAGAATGCTAGCTCTCCAAAACCCACTCAGCACCCCAGAATGGAGTTGCCTGCCATTTCCCTGCTTGACTTTGACCTCTCTCCTCCACATCCCTTTCTCCTCCCCAATATTCCCTAAGCATACCAACAACAATTTTGGCAAGCCCTGGTTTAACAGCAATTGTCTATCATATTATATCTTAATTCATATTACCATAGGGATTTTAATGTTTAATAATGACAGGTCTACTTACAGAAAGAGTGGCGCATTATATCATTGATTACAAGATAGTAGTTAGTTTACACTTCCGTTTTAGTTATTTTTCCCTTTTAGAGATGATCAATGGCAATGATATTCACAATTGTTGCCCTGCTTATGAGCTTATCTCTCCATTAAATTATTTTAGGAATTTTCATTCTAAAATACTATTATATATCCATGTTTTTCAAGTTGAATGTGCAAATGAATCACTGGAGGATGTAGTTAAAATGTAGATTGCTGAGTAAATCTTAGTTGGAGAGTTTTTAATAAGCTCCCAGGTGATGCCTACTCTACTCTGAATAATATTAAATAGAAAATAGTCCTAACTAAAACCTGGCTCTTTTTTTTTTTTTTTTTGGTTTTAGATGGACACAATACCTTCATTTTACTTATTTATTTATTTATTTTCTAATGTGGTACTGAAGATCAAACCCAGTGCCTCACACGTCCTAGGCAAGTGCTTTACCACTGAGCTACAACCCTAGCCCCCAAACCTGGCTCTTGATTGTAATCTGTAGTCCATTATTCCCTAAATTTTAAAGCAACTATCTACACCTCGGTAGTCTACACTGAGGTAGACTCTGAAGTTTGTGTGTACTTTTAAAAGGATTCTTACCAATTTCACAGGCTTTTGCCTTTTGGTCTTTGAACCAAACCAAAACAAAACACAAACAAAAATCCCACACCGTCTGAAATTAAGAAAGGCTGTCTGCTCTTAGTATGGGAAATTCCCAAGCTTTTTCTTGTAGTTTATGACCTCTGAATTTCTCAAATATGATCCCTAGCCATTTCTTTATTTTCAGCCTTAAAGCACTGCATTCTTCCCACTTTTTTCTTTCATAAAATATGAAGCACATACTTAGGACTATGAATGTATTTAAAACTTTTTGCTTCCAAATGGTCCTCTTCTCAAGTTACTTTTAAAGCCAAATGATCTTATTAATGGTGAATACTTTTGTCCAGAGTGCAATTTAAAACAAGTAAAAAAAAAAAAAACCAACAACAACAACAAAAAAAACACACAACAACCTCATTTTTCAAAACTCTGTAATATCTCCAGACTCAGGGCAAGTTGGAAAATCACATCACTTTATTAATACATCATTGAATAGAAATTTCACCTATCCCTTGACTTCTCTATGTGCATCACTATCACTACAGATTTATGAGGAAAACAAAAACTTCATAAAATCCAGTAAATTTACTACTAGCTGAGGGTTTCAGTACTCTAAAACTTATTTAGATGCAACAAAGTTTTACAGTAACATGTAATCAACATTTGAAGTTCCATTTAATAAAACTCATTTTAACCTTCAGCCATATAACTAGAAATTGGTAAGTCAGCATAGTGTCTCTTGATGAGAAAAAGCTTCTTTTTTTGTGAGAAAAATCTGAAATTTAGAAAGAGCTCTGTTATTAATAAATCATCAATAATTCAGAGAAAAAAAAAACAAAGCATTCAGCAGACAAAGTGAAGCATTTCATGCACACTCATAGTATTAAGATTTTTTTCCCTTCAATTTACAACTTCTCCTTAAAGCCCACCAACCCATAGTGATCCCCTCCTCTTCTGAAATTTTATAACATTATCAGTCCAACTCAAATAGCAATTATTTAAAGTCATCTCAGAGTCTGGGCCTGGTGGCTCACACCTGTAATCCCAGCAACTAGGGAGCCTGAGGCAAGAAGATTGCAAGTTCTTAGCAATTTATCAAAGAACCTCTACAACTTAGACCCTGTCTCAAAATAAAAAATAAAGTAAAATAAAATAGTTTTAAAAAAAAAAAGGACTGAAGACGGGCATGGTGGCCTGTAATCACAGTGGCTTAGGAGGCTGATGCAGGAGGATCGTGAGTTCAAAGCCAGCCTCAGCAATTTAAAGAAGTGCTAAGCAACTCAATGAGACTCTGTCTGTAAAGAAAATACAAAATAGGGGACTGGGGTTGTGGCTCAGTGGTAGAGCGCTCGCCTAACGTGTGAGGCACTGGGTTCTATCCTCAGCACCACATAAAAAAAATAAATAAACAAAATAAAGGCATTGTGTCCATCTACAACTAAAAAAAAAAAAAAAACTCAGTGGTCAAGTGCCCCCGAGTTCAATCCCTGGTGCCCTCTCTCTCCCCGCCAAAAAGGAATGAAGATAGAACCCATTAGTAAAGCACCCCTGGGTTTGATTCTCACTACGAAAAAAAAAAAGTAGTATCACAGGTTATGTTTTTGCATGGATTTTGCCTCCTCCTACTAGTGCAAGAGTTCCAAGGGCAGGCTGCATGTTTTATCATTTTGACACGTCTCCTACCTAGACCCACACTAGTAGTGTACTTCACTCTATGACCATTTTCCATCACTCTACTTTCTCCCAATCCTTTGTTTTCCCTGTAACTCTTTCAATGTTCACTAATCTAGAAGTAAATAGTATTTCATATTCTGAACATGATTCTCCTATTTTGATAAAACTAACACCACACCAAATTCCAAAATGTAGCCTTTTAGGTCAATTTTTGGAATTACTGTATTTTTCTGAAGACATCATAATCTATACAGCATCAATTGTGTACCCACAGTGAGGAGGCAAAGTTATAAAATGTAGGCCCACCAGTTAAAAACAAAGGACTTTTTTTGTTATCTACTGTCTCAATCTAAACATTATAATGTTACACAACTTACCTTTTTCAGTACAGCTTTCTGTTTATACAAAAGCAGACAAGTTATTAATAAAATAAAAAATGAAACAAAAATAAATGGTATCACAAAAAATACCATAGTTTTCATCCGTACGCCATCTAGGATTAAAAATCACACAAAAGGGAGACTGTTAGAGGCTTATATCTAATTTTTTAAAACATTTCTTCCTTTTTTAAATTGTAGTTGTATACAATATCTTTATTTTATTTATTTATTTTTATGTGGCGCTGAGGATCGAACCCAGGGCCTCGCATGTGCTAGGCAAGTGCTCTACCGCTGAGCCATAACCCCAGCCCCAGCCACAACCCCAGCCCCTTATAACTAATTTTTGAAATCAAATTATTTTATAAATAAAGTTCTAGTTAATGGTGAAGAGTTGCATTAAACCTTGCAACCCGGCAGCCCCTGCTGTGTTTGTCAGTGTATAGATGCCACAGTGGTATTTCAGTATATATCATTCCATTCATTTGTGAACTACTTGTTTATACAATTACTTTATTGAACTGTGACTTTTTTCTGGATAGTATCAAAGATAGAACCCAGGACCTTGGCATGCTAGGCAGTTACTCTATCACTGAGCACCGTCCCCTAGTCCCTGAACTGTGTCTTCTTTTAATTTCAATCAGAAAAATAACTACCCTAAGTGCATTTCCTGATATGATTCTGTTTAAAATTTGACCTTGTGAATTTTCATTTAAAAATAGCACTGGGCGGGGCTGGGGATGTGGCTCAAGCTGTAGCACCCGGGTTCGATCCTCAGCACCACATACAAACAAAGATGTTGTGTCCGCCAAGAACTAAAAAATAAATACTAAAAAATTCTCTCTCTCTCTCTTAACAAAAATACCACTGGGCACGGTTGTGCATGCTTTTAATTCCATAAACCCAGAAAGCTGAAGCATAAGGATTGAAAGTTTGAGGACAGCCCAGGAAACCTAGTGAGATCCTGTCTCAAAATTTAAAATAAAAAATAATAAGGGGTGGGAATTGAGCTCACTGGTAGAATGCCCTGGTGTTCAATCTCCAGTGTTAAATAAGTAAATAATAAAATATTAGTCGAGTGATTAAACAAATATGTTCTGTAAATCTTTTAACTCTCAGCAAATCAAATGTTTACTTATATCACCTGATGCTGTAAGGAGCAGGAGCTCCTCTTCAATAAAAATATATGTGTGCATGAGGAATGGAGCTAGTCTTTTTTTAACAGTAGAGAAATTTTTATTCAGCCTCTTAGCTCACAGCATGAGATAAAAGAAAAACAGTTCTTCTTAATCAATATTTTACAAAGCTACAGTAAAATATATTACACTTCAGGAATTTATAAGGGATTACATTTCTCAAAAGTTGGGATCCAGTAAACAAATTTTAACTCCTTGAATTTTCTAGGTGACCCTTTCTTTATGAAAGTAACAAGTTCTAATTACCTATATAAATTTTAGGGCCAAGTTTTATCACTGGTGCTGTCTTTAGATCTGAAATGCTGCTATTTCAATCATCATTCAGTAATTCTACCTTAAAAATGAGTTTTGCATTTGGCAGAATCTGGGCATCAGACTGTTCTTTCTTCTCATAAACCCATTCTGATTCAGTCTCCAGTATAGCCTTTTGTTCTTTACTCATAGCCAGAAGTGATTTATCTCATCCTCTGATAACTTGGACTATTCCAACCTTAAAACTTGAAGGCTTGACATTTTTCTTCTTCTTTGGACTCATTTGAATATTAGTATCAACAACAGTCCTGTCCTGTAGTGTTCTAGTGTATCAACAATGAACATCTCCCTTTTTTAGAAAAGTTGGTTTTATTCCCTGCCCCTTGTGTGTATGTGTGTGTGTGGGGGGGGGGGGGGCGGGGAGCAGATACTAGAGATTGCACCCAGGGCCATGATTCCATTAAGCCACATCTCCAGCTTTTTGACACACGGTCTCTCCAAATTTACTGAGGCTGGCCTGGAACTTGAGATCCTTCTGACCCAGCCTAGGATTATCAGCATGTGCCACCACACCTGGCTATCTTTCTGTTTTAGAACAGATTCTATGAATTTGGGTGGCCCCTCATCTGGAGTCTCTTTCACACTTGCTTTCTTTTGAGTTAAGCTTCACATTTTTCACTTGCTGGAACACTTATACTTTTGGCATCACTAAAATGCTTACTTTCAAAAAGATGGTAATAGACTTAATAATATTGGTAATAATAATAATTAATAATTAATTATTAAGTAATTAATAATAATAATTAATAATTAAGTAATTAATAATAATGGTAATAGACTTAATAGAACTAAATGTCCTTATTAGCTGTCTGGCTACAATTTCAGTGTTTCCTAGTAAATTATGCTCTTCAAGAAATGACTGTGAGCCGGGCATAGTGGTGCATGCCTGTAATCCCAGGGGCTGGGGAGGCTGAGGCAGGAGGATCGAAAGTTCAAAACCAGTCTCAGCAAAAGTGAGGTGCTAAGCAACTTCGAGGGACCCTGTCTCTAAATAAAAATACAAAATAGAGCTGGGGATGTGGCTCAATGGTTCAGTGCCCCTGAGTTCAATCCCTGGTACCAAAAAAAGTAAAAAAAAAAAAAAAAAAAAAAAAAGAAAGAAATGACTGTGAGGGCTGGGGTTGTGGCCCAGGGGTAGAGCACTTGCCTAGCATGTGTGAGGCCCTGGGTTTAATTTTCAGAACCACATATAAATAAATAAAAATAAAAGTCCATCAACAACTTAAAAAAAAAAAAGAAAGAAAAGAAATGACTGTGAACTGTGGCTCTGCCAAAACTTGTTAAAGTCCTTCTTGTACAGATGCTTACTGCACTGCCCCCTGCAAACAGCCTCCCTCCCCATGCCTCTGCTTTTGGAGCTAATCTTTCAAGGTCATCTTCCTCCTTCTTTTTTTTAATATAGTGAGGCTAGTCTCCAACTTCTTAAAAGCTACAAACACAGGCCACCATGCCAGGTTCAAGATTACATTTGCACTTTTTTTTTTTTAATGTTATCTCACATTTTAGAGTCTACAGGGAAAGCCAAGGTTTTTCTTTTCTGTTTTATTATTTTAGAAATGAGGTTTCAATGGTTTTGAATAGCAAGAAATCATGAGACAAACTCAAAAGGAAACAGTTTGTCCTTTCCCAACTAGAATCTCCCACTTGTTTTGGAGTAATATACACCATGTTAAATCAAATTCGAGGCCAGCCTGGGCAACTTGATGTGACCCTGTCTCAAAATAAAATATAAAAATGTCTGGGGATGTAGCTTAGAGGAACAGTACTCTTAGGTTCAATTCCAAGTACCAAAAACAAACAAACAAAAAAATCCTAAAGAACTAAGACAACATGATACTCAAGAAATTCTTTGTTCCTAATTTCATTAAAATTCTACTAAGCCAGGTTCCTTGGTGCATGACTGTAATCCCAGCGGCTCGGGGGGCTGAGGCAAAAATATCACAGGTTTAAAGCCAGCCTCGGCAATTTAGAGAGGCCCTTAGTAATTTAACAAGACCCTGTCTCAAAATAAAATACAAAAAATGATTGGGGATATGACTCAGTGGCTGAGTACCCCTGGGTCCAATCCCTGATATTCCCCCCAAAATAAATAAATAAATAGATAGATAAATAAATAAATAAATATTACTGATAAGATTGTGTATAAACCACACAAAAGGATATATATTTGAAGGATCTGGTTAAAAATTTGCCATATCCATTTTATACAATGCACTGACTAATGACAAAATGTCATCAGAACATAACATTACAGAGTCTCCAGATTTCTAATAGCCGTGGCAAAAATGAAAAATGTAAGATCAAAAATGTTCTTTCTGGGGCTGGGGTTGTGGCTCAGCGGTAGAGCACTGGTCTAGTATGGGCAAGGCCCTGAATTTGATCCTCGGCACCACATAAAAATAAATAAATAAAATACGGGGCTGGGGTTGTGGCTCAGAGGTAGAGCACTTGCCTAGCATGCATGAGGCCCTGGGTTGGATCCTCAGCACCACATTAAAATATATATATATATTGCGTCCAACTATAACTAAAACATAAATATTTAAAAATAAATAAATAGGGGCTGGGGTTGTGGCTCAGTGGCAGAGCGCTTGCCTAGCATGTGTGAGGCACTGGGTTTGATTCTCAGCACCACATATAAATAAATAAAGGTCCATCAACAGCTAATAAAATATAAAATAAAGGTATTGTGTCCAACTACAACTATGTTTTTTTCGGAATCTGTATATAACTCTTGGTTAACTGAGTTCTACCCTGTCCTGCTTATTTTGTCTCTATAATCCTTAGTGATTATGTATTTGGCTTCTTTGTTTATTGCCTGTCTCCCCAACTTGGGAATAAAATGTAAATTCCACGAATGTACGGATTTCTTTACGGCTGGACATGAAATGGTTGAAAAGAATCTGACACACAATAACTGCTTAATAAGTTTGACAAATGAAAAAGAACAATACTATCACTATATTCACAGAGGGACAATAGTCAGAGATTCCACTATAGAAGGACCACATGAAAGGAGATGCATGGGCCAAGTGTGGTGGCGCACACCTGTAATCCCAGAGTCTCGGGAGGCTGAGGCAGGAGGATCTCAAATTCAAAGCCAGATTCAGCAATTTAACGAGGCCCTCAGCAACTCATTGAGACCCTGTCTCTAAATAAAATATTAAAAAAGGGCTGGGGATGTGGCTCAGTGGTTAAACACACATGGGTTCAATCTCAGTACCAAAAAAAAAAAAAGTATGATTTATATAGAAAGGCCAGCGTATCTGTATATGTATTTATAGCTGCATCAGTATTTACATTCCTGGAAGAGCAATGCTGAGTTGATTTCTTTCAATTTTGAACCATTATTAGTAATTTCTACTAATTAAGCTAATATATTCTGAAACACTACCATATTTTGCTTCACTTTCTAGGCTTTTTCTTTTATACTGCTATATAATTTGAATGTTCATGTCACTTTAAATTAGTATTGTAGGTGACTAGAATATGTATTTTACCAATCATAACTTCTTGTTAGAAAAATATCTCTTAGGCATAGTACTAGACACTTGGAAATAAGTGTATGAAGACCTAGCCTTACTTTAAGATTTCTGTTCTCTTGAAATCTGAAAGCATAAGAAAATATTGATTACTATAGTCTCCTGCCCTCCCCTGACAAAAAATAATTTTTTTCTTCCCTTCCTTACGTATATTTTAATTTTTTTGCTACAGTGATGATAAATATATTCTCTTTACCAACAGTTAAAAAAACAAGATTGTTGCTGGGCACAGTGGCACATGCCTGTAATCCCAGCTGCTAGGGAGGCTAAGGCAGGAGGATCATGAGTTCAAAGCCAGCCTCAGCAACAGGAGGCACTAAGCAACTCAATGAGACCCTGTCTCTAAATAAAATACAAAAGAGGGTTGGGGATGTGGCTCAGTGGTCGAGTGCCCCTGAGTTCAATCCCTGGTACCAAAAAATAACACGATCGTGCATAACAAGACTTCTATTTCTACATGAATATAGACTTTCAAGAAATCTGTGTTTGGTTGAGGTGTTTGCTAACTTTTCTTCTCCATTGATAGACTACGCAGGAGACATTGCTCTCCATAACTGCAAAATACATTGAGAGAAAATTAATTTGCTAGCAAACAGCTACAGTTAATTAGTTACTGTCATTTTAGCTCATACCTACTATCCAGCATTCTTCGTCACTCCACTCACTCCAAAGTCCATCTTCTGAGCAATAAATATTCACTTTGCTTCTTATTAAAAAGCAGAGTTGTTGGCTTTCATTTGATGTTCTCGGGATGTGGATTTCATTTTCAGTTGTGGTGGTCTAAAAGCCAAGGGAAAAAAAAATGAGATGTCATTATTTAATCTAATTTCTATTAGAGAAATTCCATCTGTCATTTTCAATGTGGGTTTGGCTTTTTTTTTTTAAGAAAATATATGCATCGAAAGAACAGAAAGGTATAATCCTAGCAGTGATTATCTCTCTGTATGGTGGGGTTTTTTCAATCTTTTTTTTCTTCCCTTCCTTATCTATATTTTAATTTTTTTGCTAAAGTGATGATAAAGACAGCATGTGTGAGAGGGCAAAATTCCTTGGTGTTTATAATGCCCATTATAATAGACTAGTGTGAAATCTCCCTGTTCCTATAAACTGGAAGATGCTATATCCACTGAGTTTCCAAAAGACAGAACCATCATGTAAATGTGGTTTCTATGGAAACTATAGAGTTCATATACATAAGCTGTTTTTTTTTTTTTCCCTCTTGTTCTTACTCCATAAGACATGTGTAATAGTGCTTGGATTGACATGAAACTATCATTGCAGATACAAGAATATCTCAAATTGGGTGATTTCACAGGGGAAAAAAAAAAACCACTAAAGTAATTACTTCAATTTTGCATTTCTAAGAGCTGAAAGCTTTTCCCATCCAAAATAACAGTTTTTCATTTGTTGTAACTTATCATAATGTAGTGTAGATTAAGTCAGCTGGGAATCAGATCTTGATTACAGTTCTAGCTGTGTAATTTGATTATGAAGTCAACTCACCTCTCTGGGACCTGTAAGTCAATTCAACAACTAGTTTTCTCCTTTGTATACGAAATGAATTAATTAGAATTAGTGGCTTACTTTTTCCCACCACTCTCTAAGTTGGAAACCATGAATAAAATTAGCATATAACAATGTGGGGTTAAACAACAAATACCACATTGTTGATGCTGTTTGGTAGTTTGTCTTAGAACTCTTCCCTACTTCCCCTGTGCTAAGCCCCTCTTCCCTGGTTAAACCAGTCCCTTAGAGTAGTGTCATATTCTGATTTTGACCTCATGGTTTTTCCTCAAGAATTGTTTTTGTGCTGGGCATGGTGACACACTCTGGGGCAGGAGGATATGAGTTCAAAGCCATCCTCAGCAACTTGGCAAGACATTGTCTCTAAATAAAATATAAAAAAGGCTGGGGATGTGGCTCATTAGTTAAGCCCCTCTGAGTTCAATCCCTGGTCCCCCCCAAAATAATTGGTTTTTTGTCTGTGTTGGGTTTTTTTGTTTGTTTATTTTTATCTGAGGCCTCTTCACAATCCATTTTAGTCCCTTGGTAACTTTCATTTATTGATTAAAAATTGGAAACAAGTGACTAGATTATCTCCAAAATCCAATATTGTTTTAACATCAGTATGACTGATTATGCTTTCAGACTGGAAACATCTTTCTTTTGTCCACTAGATTTGAGTTTCTGGAAATTAAACTAAGATACATGTCATGTTTCATTCTTTTTGTGGCTAGCAAATGATTTGTGTTTTCAAGTGTCCTAATTTATGTAAAAAATGCTATGTTTTGACTTTCCTAAATAAATTCAATGTTCGTACCATCCAGGAAGTTTCATCTCCTGTGAGCACAACTTCATAAATGAAACACTTAGCTGGAATGGGTCCTTTAGGTATGCTCCATTTCAGGTTAATTTCAAATATATTCTTCACAGTAAGATTAAGATAGTCTGGTGGCAAAGGTTTAACTGAAAAGCAGAAGGAAACCATTTTACCATGGAGGTTGTTAAAATTAGAACCTTATCCAAAGGTGGGGACATCTAGTATCAGAAACTTCCAGGGTTAAAGGAGGTGGCTCAAGATTATTTATTGCCTATGATATGAATTAAAATCATAATCACTTGCCAATCAAAATGAGTTTATTGAGAAACTTGGCTATTTTGGAACTCATTTTTTAAATATATCTTATGCTGATAAATATTTAAACCCAAGAGAAAAGTTAGAAGATCCAAACCATTCTGATAATTTTCCCAGTTTGTAGCTTAAGAAACAATAACCACAACCAGTACTACCACAACTCGTACTAAATGCTAACCCCTTATGTTGTGCTTATGACAATCAGACAGTGTAACAGGGATGCTGCAACATGATCTCATTCATGTCTCACATTAAATCTATGAGGTAGTCACCTATTATTTTCATTTTACTAATATGGGAATTGAAACACATGTTAAAAAAAACTTGCCCAAAGTTGCACAACTAGAAAGTGGTTGATTCAACATTCAAACCTACTTCTGGCTGACTCTAGAACCTGTCACTCTTTTCACTGTTAGAACGGAGAACAGACTCAGAAAATAGCCAACCATTTGCATATCATGGCCTGGGAATAAGAGATTCCATAATTACTCTGTCACTCACACTGAACCAAGTACCATATGCAAATTCTTTGATGCTGGGAAATAAATTATGATTTCTAAATGAAAATGATGCTGTATACTTCATTCCATTTCCTGTTTTCCATATTTCCTCATACACTAGACTGCCTTGATTTTTCTGGCTTTGCACTTCCATGAGTCTCTTCATCTCTCTTTCTCTCATTCCCTATCTGCCTCTATCTCTCTTTCCCTCAAGTGGTTGGGAAAAAAAAAAGAAGAAGAATTTGAAGTTGTTTGTTTATATCACCTATATTTTGAAGTTGGAAAATGAAATAGCTGGATCTGATAGGCTTGGATTCTGATGATCCATTAACACAGACAAAGAAATCTTTATAGTCTGATGACTCCAAAGAGGGAAAAGTGCATCCAACATTTACTCCATTAGACTTGATATAATCGACACACTGTGATGTATGTTCCAAGCCCTCATACCTGTAAAAAGAAGTATTGCAAGAATTGTGTTTAACAGTACCTGCTAGTGTCATGGTGCTTCATTTTCAATTATCTTAAAAATCCTTGTGAATAAAAAAAACATTTAATAACAAAATATTTAGCACCTAGTATATGCTGCATGCTACAAGTACTAAGGATTCAACAGTAGGGAAAGCAGATATAGACTATAATTTCATGGAGCTTACAATCTGATGGTAGTCTGCACACGATCTCAAAGATGAAACGAGGATTCTTACTCATGTAATTACATCATGTTGACTCACCAACAGGATTTGAGAATCAAAGAATAAGATTCCTACTAAGAAATCCTAGGGTTTATATAAATAATCATGCATGATGCTGCCTTTTTAATATTTTACTTGGAAAATTATTGTGAAAGAAAGCACATCAAAAAGTAGACTTACAAAATATTGTATTTTTTAATAAAATGAATGAAAATCCTCTGAGTATACAAAACACATTAAGATATAAATCTCAGAAAGTCAACTGTGGGTGGGAGGAAGAAAAGGAGAAGTTGTTTGGCAAGTACATGTCTAATTTTCCCATTCTCCTAAACAAGAAATGTCATTTAAAGTTAACCTCATTCCGGTAATACTGTTAATGGGAATTAGGAGTGGGCGGTTCCATACTGATTTCTAAAGCAATAAATGCCTGGTTTATCTTCCTAAAAAATAGCTTGCAATGCAAAATGTGACATTTGCTTTAAAAGCAGTCAAAGTCTGTTTTGAAATTGGGCCAAGATAGAAGCTGATAAGATGATAGTGAAAAGAGCTTGACTCTACTAAATTAATTTTATGCCAAATATTGACTTCAGGCAGAGTTTGCAAAATTGTAGTCTTATGATTAGTTCACCTGATTAGAGTTTGGAAGACTTGACTTTTTACAGACTTACTTTGTGCCAGTGGAGAAGCCCAGGCCACCCACTTTTCCCCACTCTCTAAAATGTTAGTATTTATTCCCCCCATTCCACTAAGTGAAGTTAAATTTGCATTGAACATGACCCATTGCATTCAAGAGAGTAGTTCCTTTGTCTTATTCATACTTTTATCTTGGAACTTAGTAGATGCTTAATATTTGTTGAATTAAGAACAAATAATTTAGACCTTCAAAAGTTATCCATCCACTTCTAGGTGAGGAAACTGAGGCCCCCAAAGGGGAAATTATGCACTCAAGGCCAACAAGTTAAATGATGCCAGAGCCGGGATTAGAATCTAGTTCTCAGGAGTATTAATAATTTATACCTAGTCATGCATACAGTTTTCTAAAGAAAGATGTCATGATAATTTGAACCTAAAGCTCACAAACAGCATCATTGTGTCCTCTCTTGATTTTATTTTATTTAGTAAATGCATAAGTTTTGGTACTTACCTACCAATTTACCAATGCTATCATTTGTTTCATTCATTTATTTAATATGTAATGCTAATCTCCTGTGAGCATAGCACTCTGGAGATGGTCAAAAGAAATATAAGAAACAATTTATGCCCGCCAACTCCAAAAAGTTGAAGAGACAAAGCACACATGCACAATTTTATTTATTTATTTTTTTTTTAGAGAGAAATTTTTTAATATTTATTTTTTAGTTTTCGGCGGACACAACATCTTTGTTTGTATGTGGTGTTGAGGATTGAACCCGGGCCGCACGCATGCCAGGCCAGCGCGCTACCACTTGAGCCACATCCCCAGCCCATGCACAGTTTTAAATACCATCTAAACAATAAATAATTGAGAGCTATAAAAAGTAATAGTTCAAAGAAAAAAAACCTGAACAGAAGTTGACATGATCAATAAAATGTCCATGAAATTGGAGAGTAGACTGGTTTTGAAGGATGAATAGGAGTTGGTAAAAGAGAGAGCCAGAGGGCATCCCAGATGGCAACACATATATAGGCATAAAAGGGCATAAACTCAGGTGAGAAAACAATGTAGAGATGGATCTAAATGGAGTGGTACATTTGCATTGGTGATAATAGAAAGTACTATTGGAAAGGCAGTGACACAAGGAAGCAGAGACTTGAATGGCAGGCTAGAATTCACCCTGGGGGCAATCTGTAGCTCCCAGAGGTTTTTGAACACAGGGGTGGCATATAAAAATGGCCATGTAAGAAGATAAAGCTGGCTACAGTGTGCAGAACGAACAGCAAGGAGTCAGACTGGAAGGGGAGGGATTGGAAGCAGAGCCATCATCATTTGGGAGGCTATGACAATCAACCAGATGTGAAATGAGGGGAGACTAAAGTGAGCTTCTTACGATAGAGATGGGGAATGAAAAATAGATGTGCAACTTTGCAAAGGAGTATCAGTACCTGGGATCGTGCTACTATGAAACAAGCAAGGAAAGAAGGAAACAGAAGAGTTAAGATGGCTTTAAGTTTAAAAGCCTCAGTGACAGTTAACAAAGGTAAGGAGCCAGAAAATGGATACTGTTTAATAACTAATTTTTAAAGGGGCAAGAATACAGGGAGTGGTGGTGCATGCCTATAAACCCAGTGTCTCAGGAGGCTGAGGCAGGAGGATCATGAGTTCAAAGCCAGCAACTTAGTGAGGCACTAAGCACCTCAGTAAGACCCTGTCTCTAAACGTAAAAAAGGGCTGGGGACGTAGCTCAATGGTTAAGTTCAATCCCTGGTACCCCCCTCCAAAAAAAAGAGTAAAATAAAAAGGCAAGAATACAAATTACACCCAAATGTTTTAGATTATAGCTCTATCTATCTAAAGGATACAAAATTTAATCAAGTATAAAAACAACATTCTATGATCTCACTCATAGAATGCCTTATAGAATCTGCAGCCCAAACCCACTTACTCCCATTGAAAACCCCAAGTAAATTTTTAGGGGGGAGGTACTGAGGATTGAACTTAGGGGCACTCGACCACTGAGCCACATCCCCAGCCCTATTATTTTGTATTTTATTTAGAGACAGGGTCTCACTGAGTTGCTCAGCACCTCACTTTTGCTGAGGTTGGCTTTGAACTCGCGATCCTCCTGCCTCATCCTCTTGAGCCACAGGGATTACAGGTATGTGCCACCATGCCAGGCAAAAACTCCAAGTAATTATAATCAACACCATCAGAAATACAAATCTGATAAATACAGTGAACTTAATTTAGTGGAAATATAGTAAAACATATTGTGGACTGATTTGGTAGATATTTTTCTAACATGGAATTCCAACTATAAAAATACTTACCAATAAAACAAGGTGTAATTGGTATCCAAATGTGCACCTATGCCAGGTTTCCAAGAACAGATTAAATATTGCCAGTTGTAATATACACAAACCATGTCCTGAATTTTAGTTTCCAGACTTCCTAAGAAATGAAAGAACTATGAATACTTCAAAGACATGATAATGAATCATTTGCAAATTCATTATGAAATTTTATTTCACTTCCTTTGGCCTCACTACTTCATTTAGCAATCAACATAATGGGAATATTTTGAGAGGAAGTTATTGGAACTCACTGACACTAACAGATGCCAAAATATTAAATTGATAATTCTATGATGCTGTGAGGAGTTGAGCAAATACACATTTACTAACACGACCCCCATACTGGCGATTGTATTAATGTATTAAGATGTAGGGGTTTTTTTTTGGGGGGTACCAGGGATTGAACTCAGGGGCACTCAACCACTGAGCCACATCCCCAGCCGTATTTTGTATTTTATTTAGAGACAGGGTCTCATTGAGTTGCTTAGCATCTCACTTTTGCTGAGGTTGGCTTTGAACTTTCAATCCTCCTGCTTCAGCCTCCTGAGCTGCTGGGATTACAGGCGTGTGCCACCAACACCCAGCAAGATATAGGTTTTTGTCAAACATCTTTACTGAATTAAATGATTCAGAAAGGCATGTCACTCGCTACTAAGAAGGATTCTATTTTGTGCCACACTGTCACTGGATCTATCATATATACGTTCTGGTGCCCAAGATTTAAGGAAGTTATTCCCTACGTAGATTGTTCTGGTAACATTAAATGTAAAAAGGGAGCCTTGTTTTAACCTTGTTCTGATGTCCAATAAGTAGCTTCTGACCATGAACTTTGCACTTCTGATCCATTTGTGCATTGCCTTGACAAAAGTGTGTGTATCTTTGCTTCAATCCCTTGGTTAAGATCAAACCCATCTTTATAATACAGGTTCTTAGTAATGATGGTCTGTTTGATAAAAAGACAAGACAAAGTCAAACTTAGAAACAGCCATGGTATAGTGAATCACACTAATAAAACTGAGAGGTTATTGATACCCTGGAAAGTTCCCAACATCTAAGATACTCCTGGTGATTATCTCCTCTGTTGCTCCAGAAATATTTGCAGCAGAGATCACCTCTGTATATCATATCATTTGATAAGATTATTTGAATCTTAGCATCTAATTCAAAACAAAAACAAAAACTTCTGGAAGAGAAAAAAGGTTCTATGTCTGTAACCAGCTTGGAACCAATTTGAGGAATTTCACATACCATATGTACATTACATGGCAAATGATTTGACCCTTGACCCTTCCAATATAATATGAAGCCTTCAGGAATCACATAAAGTAAAATCCTGGAGGTAGCTGAAGAAAGATGGACAAATTGTAAGATCCTGGAGGATGAAAATCATATATTATTTAATTCTTATATTCCTGATATCTTACAGAGTGGCTAGTTCAAAAAGTTGCTAAATAAATGTTTATTTGAATTGTCCCTTGAAACTACCTAGCTGAATTATGGAAGTAACAGGATGCTTTCTACCACAGGAATTTTCAAATGAACGTGATTGCCAAGGAAGTAAATAGTTCATAATTCAATCAACTTTCATTAAGAACTTACTACAATACATGCAAAGAACCAAGTTGTGTTTGGTGGGGCACAACTTGGAGTCAAGTTGCTTGACTCCTACAGAGAAAAAAACCCACAATACAGTAGCATATATAAAACCCATGTCTAAATCTATAAGTACTATGGATAAATATGGTCTGAGTGTATCCCCCAGGGGGTTCATGTGTTTGAAGCTTGGTCCTCAGTGTGACAATGTTGGGAGGTGGTGGAACCTTTAAAAGGCAGAGTGTAGCAGAAGGTGATTAGGTTATTGGGGGCACTGCCCTCAGAAGAAAATAATGTAATTCTCTTAGGATGCCAATTAATTCCTATAAGAGTTTCATATTATAAAACGTTAAGACTGGTCCCTTCTCACTCTCTGGCTTCCTATCTCACCATGTGATCCCTCCCTTTCACACATGCTTCCACTGTAATGCCATCAGCCTTCAGTCCCTCAACAGAGACTGAACAAATGGGCCACACAATCTTAGACCTTCAGCCTCCACCACTATGAGCCAAATAAACCTTTTTTTTCCATTATATATCACCCAGCCTCAGGCATTTTATTATAGCAATGGAAAATGGACTAAAATAATAAGTAATTATAAAATATGGTGAAACAACTGCTCTTCCAGTTCATATTCCATGGGACCAAGTATCTTTTTTCCTGTATCTCCAGTGGTAGTCTTAACAGTAGATGGGGCGAAAACATATTTAGCAGGATAGGAGATATACACAGACATGGTAGTTTGTTTTATACTAATTAGAACTATTGCAATATGAGAATTAGAGTAGACACAATAGTCAGAAGAATCACAAGAAAATACCTAATGATAACTCTAATATTGTAAGTACATGCTTTACTTACTTTCCATCTTTTGCTATTGATGTTTCTGTACTGTAATTCGTATTCTATTGTGCATTCCTTAAAATTTTCCAGAGCCAGTGGAGGTTGCCATTGTAAATAAAGATAACCTAAATATCCAGGATCCACTATCACAAAATCCTGAGGAGGATTAACTAAAATAAAATCAATAAAATATTTTAACTTTTTCTTTGTATTTTATGACAAAGATTAGTAAATACAGATTATCTCTAAATGTCCATCAATGATAAATAGATAGACAAAATAGAGTACATCTATGCAATATTATTATATTATTTAGCCACAAAAAGGAGTGAAGTACTAACACATGCTGCAACATGGAAGAATTTATATTTTGCTAAGCGAAAGAAGCCAGTCACAAAAGACCATATATTCTATAATTCTATTCATATAAAATATTTAGAATGGGAAAATCCATAGACATAATAGATGAGTGGTTGTCAGAGGCTACAGGGAGCGGAGAATATAATGTGATTGTTTAAGGAGTTTCTTCGAAAATATTCTGGAATTTGATAGTGGTAGTTATTTCATAACTTTGTGAATGTACTAAAAACTACTATATAGTATTTTTGAAAAAGGTGAGTTTTATGTTATATAAATTATATCTCAATCTAGATTACTGCTACATCGTTGTTCTCTCTTTTAACAAATCACGTTAAGTGCCAGGCGCAATGGCACATGATTGTAATCCCAGCGGCTTGGGAGGCTGAGATGGGAGGATCGTGAACTCAAAGCCAGCCTCAGAAAAAGGTGCTAAGCAACTCATTGAGACCCTGTCTGTAAATTAAATACAAAATAGGGCTGGGGATGTGGCTCAGTGGTCAAGTGTCCCTAAATTCAATCCCCAGAACCCTCCCCCCCAAAAAAAAAAGATAAATCACAAAAGCAAAATGTGACCTTGGTGGGTGGCATTAGTGGAATATTGATGAGCATAGCTGCTTTCCAAAATGTAACTTTGATTCTCTGGAAACTGCTTGTACAGAAATAAAAAATTCAACGTGGAGGGCTGGGGCTTCAGCTCAGTGGTAGAGCACCTGGTTTGCACGTGTGAGGCACCTGGTTCCATCCGGCAGCACCACGTAAAAATAAATAAATAAATAAATATATTGTGTCCATCTACAACTTAAAAAACAAAAAAATTCAACATAGAGTTTTCCCAGTCATGTACACGAGAACTTGGTCTAGGATGGGAGAATTTTATTATATAAATGTCTCTAATAGCAATAACTAATTAGTATTAATTCAGTGTTTAGTATACACATAAAATATTGTGGCAAACACAAAAAAGAGGAATGGAAAAATAAATATGTCTTCTATGGATAAGTGCCTTAGAATTTGGAGAACAGATCTTATTGCCACTTTCCGGTTAATTGAATCCTCCAACCTAATGAAATTTCTGAGTTGTCCCAAAAAATCTAGTAGCACCATAATAGTGCCCTCATGTTACCTTTTTGCTAATTATTTCCTCTCATTTCTGCCACATTATCATTTTAATTCCTCACTTTATAATCCGTATCTAGGTGACGAAATGAATTCACAGAAAGAAATTGTTGCACGGATTATGATGTGACCTGGGACCCGCCCCCCCAGGTACCTATAAAGAAGATCTCTATGGAGGATGAAATGACAATCCTGTTGTTTCGATCCTTATGGCTAGAAATCTTCATCAAGTGCATTATTCTAATTATCTTTGTCATTAAACATGATTGAAAAGTTCTGTAATTATTTCTACATTTCACTTTAAATTGTTATATTCTTATTTATCTAATTTTCATAAAAGTAAGGAGAATTATCACGGAAAGATTTGAGTTGGTTAAATATCAGGCAATAAGTTTTCAGATATCCAACCTTCTCTTTTTTTTTTTTTTTTTTTTTAGGAAAGACTATACAAGAGGTATGGAAAGTGCTTTTTTTGTTGTTGTTTGTTTGGTTTATTTTGTTATTCCTGAGATAATTTTTTGAGGGTACTAGAGATTGAACCTAGGGGTGTTTAACCACTGATTCTCACCCCCAGCCCATTTTATCTATCTATCTATCTATCTATTTATTTATTATTTATCTATTATTTTGTGCTGGGTATTGAACCCAGGGCCTTGTGATTCGAGACAAGTACTCTGCCAACTGAGCTATATCCCCAGCCCATTTTTTATTTTGAGACAGGGCCTCACTAAATTGCTGAGGCTGGCTTTGAACTGGTAATCTTCCTGCCTCAGTCTCCCAAGCTGCTAGGATTACAGGTATGCACCACATGCCTGGTTTATTTCTTATTTTGCTTAGGGCCTCAAGTTGCTGAGGGATTCCTGGAATTTGTAATCCTCTGGTCTTAGCCTCCTGAGTAGCTGGGATTACAACTGTGGGCCACCACACCTGGCTTCCTGAAATAATTTTTAAGAACAATCCACCTACCAGTTATGCACTTCCATAAGGTAGATTGAAAAGACAGTTAATATCCCTAATTTTAAGACTACTCCATTAACATCAATTTCACTTGTTGTTTTACCTTTTATTTCTGTGCTTGAAGAGAAAGTAGAGCTAAATTCTGTGCAAATTAGAAAGATAAATAGGCATCTAAGATCCAAACAAATGAAAGCCATTTCTCTAAGATTTAGTATCTTGAAATCTTCTCTCTAGGAAAGAAAATTACAAAACTGAAATATTTTACTCCAAATAACAAAGTGAATTAATGTGATGAACAATACTTTTGGGAGCTCTCTGTGTGCTTTCTACCAAGAATTGGGAAATCTGCCCCACTTGAGCTGTGGAAATAGAAATAATCAAGTCTGTCACAAGTGGAATCAGAATGGGAGAATTCTGGTCTCATCTTTCTAATAAGAGTAAAAAAAAGCAAAACAAACCCAAGAAGACCTTCAACCCCTCACCCATACACATTCACACTTTCTACATGCTTTGGACATTTTAAGATGACTTCAAATAGCCTTCATCATGAAGGAGTCAGGCCCACCAGAGCATTTTTATTGGTGCATGGGGCAGGGGAGCAGTTACAACATTAGTCTCCATAGCAATCATCTGCCCAGCAACATAGAAAACATACTGACACTCTTCTGAGAAAAGAAAAAAAAAAACATTGGAAGCTGACTACTGAGAAAGCCTTAGATAATTTTGCTGTATTTCTTCATAACTATTAAATCATCATCTTCTTCTCTCACGCTTGTCCCACTTCTACCTTTGTCTCCTGGATCAGGAGATAACATCACCATCCTCCCAGTTTTCTGAATCAGTAACTTGAAAGTCTCCCTCAAATCCTTGCACACCATTAGCACTATTACTTTCTCACTTGAGTATCTTACCATCAAAGATCTCCTTGTCCAGTCTTTCCTGCCTCCAGCCCCTTGTCCACACAACCTACAGAAAGGATGGCCTTTCTAAAGGGCAAATGTAAGCTTATTGCCTTTTTTTTTTTTTTTTTTTTTTTTTTGGTGCTGGGGATTGAACCCAGGGCCTTGAGCATGTGAGGCAAGCACTCTACCAACTGAGCTATATCCACAGCCCTTATTACCTCTTTTTAGAAAGTATAACATTTCACTGTCACAGAATACAAGATAATCATTATTTTATCCTTGAAGAATATTGTTTCTGTGATCAAAATGTAAAGGATTCATGCCTACAAATACTTACTTAATAAAATTGCCCAAGATTATACAGCAAATTCGTAATAGAGTTGGATGTACAACAGAGAGCCTATGATTCCCAGCATAGTATACTTTCACCTTATTATGTTGGGCCCAAATGCTTGGCTCACTGTTATAAAAGCTTTCCTCTGGGATCACAGTGTTTAAGTCTTCCTTCAATTAGCTAATCAGACTGAAGCAACACTATGCTATTGGTTTTTTTATTCTAAGCCTCATAAAAGCACAAGAGGATTCCATTTTTCTTACTGAGATTCAACAAATATTCCTCTCCTCATTTCCTCCTTCCCCATTCACTAGCCCCTAGCTGCCCACTAATTCATCTGTAAGTACTAGGTAGAGTTGGTTACCAAAAGATTACAGCTCTTCCCCAGAGCTACTCCCAGAGATTAAGATGAACACACTGGTTTCTGTTGGGCTCAAGGCATTAAATTGGGCAAAGAAATGTTTCCATGTCCTGTAAGGACTAATATAGTCAAGTTTCCCTTAAAATGCTATCAAAGAGAGCCTAACCAAGCTCTCTCTCCTCTCTCCAGCTGTTCTTAAAATTTTCATAGCTCTGCATAATGTACAGCATAAACGCTAAGTAGAGAGTTAAAAAGTCATTTGCTTCTGTTTTATAGAGGCCAGTGAAATCTGATTACAACTATTAAAAAAGCATTTCCTGGATCGGCTCAACACATTAAAGCATACAAAACAGAAAAGCTTCATAGAAAGATCCACAAAAGGAGCTCCTGAGTTACATCTAGGGTCCAACCTAGACTTTCCCAAATGAGCTCATGTAAATCCTATCATTGGCTTCTGAGTTCTAGGGTTGTCACTAGTACAGTGAGGGGCTTTATATATTGTATGGTTACCAGGAAAACTTGAATCTTCTCAGGGAGCAAGGGAGGTAGACCTGAAGACAAAGGGAAGATGGGGAAGGAAATGCAGACATCTGAGATTTGAAAAGTTTCTGGTATACTCCATACCTCCCTGACCACACTTAAGAACCACTTATCTGGTCTTAACTGTTTATTTTTTAAAATGAGGAAATAGGGCTGGGGTTGTGGCTCAGCGGTAGAACACTCGCCTAGCACATGCAAGGCCCTGGGTTCGATCCTCAGCACCACATAAAAATAAATAAATAAAATAAAGGTATTGTGTCCAACTACAACTAAAAAATAAATATTAAAAAAATGAGGAAATAACAACCAGAGATGTCCAAACTCACATAACTTATGGTGCAGAGCTAGGACTGAAAACCAGGTCTCTTGAACCCTTTGCACTAAGAATGAATAAATTTTCTTGTCCTGAGTCTGTCCTAATTTACCAAAAGCATCCTTCATCCAACCTTCCTCAACCTGCTGTCACCACACAAACCATCAACCAGACCACCCAGATTTATTATCATGGCACTTCTGGCACACGAGTAATTCAATATATATGGATTGAATACTTTCTTTTTGCCACATACTATTCCAGATAAATCTTGCATAAGGTACGAGATTGAATGGCAACAGTCAAAATATCTATAATAATAATAATAATACCTTCTGCCATTTATTCAGCATTCACAGCATCCCAAGAACTGTTCAGTGCTAAGCACTATACACATATTAACTCAGACAACAACATATAATGTTCAGTCAGCCTTGGACATTATGGCGCAATTTTTAGTTTCATCTTAAAGACCAGGAATTGAGACATAGAGAAGGTAAACAACTTCTGTCAAGTCACACACACCATAAATGAGGAGGTTTGGATCTGAATCTAGACTAGTGCCAGAGCCCTTGATGGCCATCACTACACGGGGCTAAATATGAAGAGTAGACTTCTATTTTCAACATACTCAGTTTCACAAAACACTATTGCTGACAGCTTCCCAATGGCAATGTCTTTTGGAACGGCAAACCTAAAGCAATTTCCTCTTTTCAGCCTTGCTTTCCCACTTCTTCAAAGTCACGTAGGTTAATCTCCTCACAGAAGACTTAGCTGGGTCAGGGAGGTATAGCCGTAGTAAAGTGTTTGCCTAGCTTGTGAGAGGCCCTGAGTTCCATTCTTAGCAGTACCCAAAAAAAAAAAAAAATTGGCCGGATAATCCTTGCATTATTGGAGAAACTCCAGGTACTTACCAATACTATGGTTTCTCAAGAAGTGGATTATCATAAGCAGTTATCACAGGCTCTCCTTTTCTTTCCTCTCCACTTCAGAGACATTCATTAGAATCTCTACTATTTTTCTTCTTGTTTGATAACCAAGCACATTGAAAAAATTAGATAGGTGTTCCTGAAATAGCCAGAGGGCCAAAACATAGATACCACAAGTTATAAGATGAGGAGGTTATGGGTGGTGCTAAAAGCCATCTAAAGCAAATTTAGAATCACCGCAAGGTGTTGCAAAAGTTGACAGGACTAATTATTCTTTGGATAAAGTAACAGATTTATGGCCGAGGAGCTTCTTATAATCAAAGGCACAGTGGTGCACACTGCCTCAGCTGCTTTGCTTCGAAGCAAATTACATCTCAATTTGCATGTATAAAATGGAGGTAATGACACAAGCCTGGCATGGGGTGTCTTAAAGATTAAGTATGTGAAACTGCTTTGAGAACAGTAGATTACTCTATATACTTAAGGGTTTGCTTCTGAGAACTTTGTCACTAAGTAAAACTTGAAAATAAGCTTCAACCTACATATTTGTTCCTAACAATTCAGGTTTTATATTCTACTGTTGATAACTAGGCACTTACAATTAATCCTCAATTTCTACCATCCTTGCTGACCTATTATTCTGCATTTATTAATCTTTGTCTTAATAACAATAATTTCTTGCATTTGTCGAGCTTTGTATAATTTATAAAGAACTTGTTGAATTCTGTTAATAAATCTGAACATGCATAAAATTGTTATTGAATATTTACAAAATGTAAAACTAGGTCTTAGAGAGATTATCGGACTAGTACAGATTCTCACAGCTGGTAAAATCCATACAAAAAGGAAAGGAAAGAGAAATAAGGCACAGAAAAATGTACTAAGGGTAATAATGTATAATACACTTTTTTTTTTGGTAGAGAGGATTGAACCCAGGGGTACTCTACAACTGAGCCACATGCTCAGACCTTTTTATTTTTTATTTTGAGACAGGGTCTTGTGAAGTTGCTTAGGGCCTCACTAAGTTTGCTGAGGTTGGCTTTGAACTTTCTATCCTCCTACCTCAGCCTCTCACCACACTGGGATTATAGGCATGCACCTCCATGCCTGGCAATATGCTTTTTTTTTTTTAAGAAAAATTTCTTCTCTATATTGTCAAAAGAGAAGAAGGAGGAGAAGGGGAAGGAGGAGAAGGAGGAAGAGAAGTTGTTTTCTCTGAAGTATCTGAAATAATCATAGGCTTTTTAATTTATTCTATTTTAAAGGAAATGACTAAGTGGCAGAAATAAATAATTATTTATTAGAAAATGATGAATGAAATTTTGCAAAGTCACTAAAGTGATTTCTTTAAAAAGGGGGGGGCACATAAACCAGGAGCAATGGCATATGCCTCCAGCCCCAGCTTCTGGGGGGCTGAGGCAAAAGGATCACAAGTTTGAGGCCAGCCTGGGTAACTCAGTGGGACCCTGTCTCAAAAATAAAAATAAAAAGGGTTGGAAATGTAACTCAGTGGTAAAACTCCCCTGAGTTCCATCCCCAGTACCACACACAAATGAATAAAAATTAAAATGACATGGGCATGATTTTCTGTTACTTTTAAGTAATAAAAAAATAATCAGTGTTACAAAATTTGATACTTTCCATTCACACTTTTTAAAGTACCTAAAAATATCAACTAAAACATTTAGAATAGGGATTGGGGAGAAAAGAAATTAGGATAATAGATGTTGAGAGCCACAGCAGAAGGGGCCCCAGCAAACTTTCAGACTGCCGGCTGATGATTGGCTCACAGCGGCCCCAGCAACTTCTAGCTGATTGGCTCCTCTGCGGTGGTGCTCATTGGGCTGTTTTCCTGCCCTTTCAGAAAATCCAACCCATGTCTGTCTGTTCCTTGATCTATTTGTATTGGTGCTGCTATACCTTGTTCTTGTTTTTCTAATCTTTTTCCTGTCCTAAAACCTTGTCTAGTCATAATAGTGGGTGCATTTTGGTTGATGGTATTTGTTAATGTCAAACCTAATTGATCTAGGACATCTCGTCCCCATAAATTTATGGGAAGATGATCCAATACATATGACTGTATAGTTCCTTCACATCCTTCAGGATCCTTCCAATCTAATACCATTGCACTTCTATGGGGATTAGTCCCCACTCCTAGGCCTCGAAGCGTTTGAGTGGCTTGTTGTAATGGCCAATGTTTTGGCCATTCTTGACGAGAGATGATGCTAAGGTCTGTGCCTGTATCCAGTAGCCCATTAAATTCATGTCCTTGAATATTTAGTTTTAGCATGGGGCGAGAATCTAAATTTAAAGAAAGCATAGCCCAATCTACACCTGTGGAGCCTAATCCCTTGGAACCTCTTTCTACAGCACGACTGGAAAACTTATCATGTAGGCTGGGTATTATTAGTAACTGTGCTATTCTATCTCCTGGTGAAATTACTGATATACCCTTTGGAGAACTGGCTATAATTTTTATTTCACCTTCATAATCAGGATCAATTACCCCAGGACGTATCATAAGTCCTTTTAGAGTAGAAGAGCTGCGTCCCAATAATAAGCCTACTGTTCCTTTGGGAAGAGGTCCTTTTACCCCTGTGGAAATGATTTGAACTCCCATCTCTGGAGTTAGTACTGCTCTGGCGGAGGCGCAGATGTCCAACCCTGCGCTCCCTCTGGTTTGTCTGATGAGGGATCTGATGGACAATGTGTCCTGGGCACTACCCTGATGGGGTTGCTGAGTTCCTCCATGGTGTTTCTGGGTTCCTCCAGTGCCCCGTATATTTGTGGTTTGGGGCCCAGCCTACATGATAAATTTTCCAGTCGTGCTGTAGAAAGAGGTTCCAAGGGATTAGGCTCCACAGGTGTAGATTGGGCTATGCTTTCTTTAAATTTAGATTTTCGCCCCATCCTAAAACTAAATATTCAAGGACATGAATTTAATAGGCTACTGGATACAGGCGCAGACCTTAGCATCATCTCTCGTCAAGAATGGCCACAACATTGGCCATTACAACAAGCCACTCAAACGCTGCAAGGCCTAGGAGTGGCGACTAATCCCCATAGAAGTGCAATGGTATTAGATTGGAAGGATCCTGAAGGATGTGAAGGAACTATACCACCATATGTATTGGAACATCTTCCCCGTAAATTTATGGGAACGAGACGTTCTAGATCAATTAGGTTTAACATTAACAAATACCATCAACCAAAATGCACCCACTATTATGACTAGACAAGGTTTTAGGAAAGGAAAAAGATTAGAAAAACAAGAACAAGGTATAGCAGCACCAATACAAATAGATCAAGGAACAGACAGACATGGGTTGGATTTTCTGAAAGGGCAGGAAAACAGCCCAATGAGCACCACCGCAGAGGAGCCAATCAGCTAGAAGTTGCTGGGGCCGCTGTGAGCCAATCATCAGCTGGCAGTCTGAAAGGGCAGGGAAACAGTTCAATGAGCATCACCGCAGAGGAGCCAATCAGCTAGAAGTTGCTGGGGCCGCTGTGAGCCAATCATCAGCTGGCAGTCTGAAAGGGCAGGGAAACAGTTCAATGAGCATCACCGCAGAGGAGCCAATCAGCTAGAAGTTGCTGGGGCCGCTGTGAGCCAATCATCAGCTGGCAGTCTGAAAGTTTGCTGGGGCCCCTTCTGCTGTGGCTCTCAACAAATAGAGAAGGAGATCTTGAGGAGAGAGAAATGGAAAAGTACCACGATTACATATTTTGTTTTGTTTGAACCCACCACTTCACATGTGCTAGGCAGGTGCTCTACCACTGACCTACATTCCAGCCCCTAGGATTGAATACTTACCCGACATCTGCAGGCGAAATGATCAACCAATAGGTTCTCACATGAGAAAGCATTGACCAGGAGACCTGGGCTCTGGCATCAGCTTTGCCAGGTAACTTTGGAAAATTATAACAGCGATCATAGTTTATTTAGTCCTTATTAAATGTCCACCTCTGCATCAGGTGCTTGATATGGATTAGCTCATTTGAGTCTCCCAAACATTGATATTATTATCTTAATATTACAATTTTACAAATGAGGCATTTGAGGCTCAGAAAATTTAAGTAAACTTCTCAAGTTCATAAAACTTAAACAAGAAAAGATGTCTATATCTGATTTTAAAGACCATGCTCCTTTAACATATAATACTGTCTTTCAACTAGTCTCATTCTAAGATGATCAATTTTCTCTCATATAAGTTATCCCTAAGATAACATTCTCAATTTCATCAGCTAATCTGCTGTGTATCCAATTACTATTTCAGGATGTGACTCAAGAGCACTGGCTTCCTGGATAACAAATCTTGCTTCAAGGAGACCATCCAACACGTTTAATGTCTACTCATAGCTTCTGGAGTATGGCCATGACTCAATCTCATAATCAAAGAATCTGGAACCTGCCAGGCCTTGAGATCTAACAACATGCTAAGATTGATACATGGCGATCACCAGCCTATGACCTAGTGGTGAGTCAAACCTAATTTCATTTTTAAAATAACATATCCTGCAGTGTAGAAGCTTATAAAGAATGCTGAGGATGATTTTATGTACATTCAAACACAAAAGGCATTAAAACAGATTTATCATGTTTGCCATTAGTCACATAGTATAAGTAATTTCCTACAAAAGACACAAGGCATTTAAGCACATGCAGAAAGGTAAAGTAAGTGTAGACAAATGAAATACATATAGAGTTTATTTTTAACAAATATCATTATAACATCCAGTTTTACATAGCATGATTATATTTGTATCCCTTCTAAGATTGTATACTAACATTGATATATGTTGATATTTATTGAATATGTTCAATAAATCTTGGCAAAACATAAGTAGTCATTCTACTCCATAATTATTTAGACGCTTTCCAGTATGATATCCTGAATTCATCCAGCTAACAAGTTTCCTGAAGTGCTGTCAAAGCTAGACAATTCAGTTTTGTGCTACTATGGCAACATCCAAGTTTACAGTGTTAATTCATGAAGCATTTTACACAGTTCAGAATTTGTTCTTATTCCAAGAAGCTCAGAGATTTGTTATTTTATAATCCCACCCAACAAATCACCAACAAACCTTTAAAAAACAGTGCATTAAAATAATTTTTTATGACCCTGAGGGGGAAAAACT